CAGCAAACTTCAAAGTTTTGGACTTAAGCAATTGTCTTGCCTCACCCTCTTAAGTAGCTGGGACTACAGGCACCTGGCTATTTTTTTGTTGCAGTTGTTTTTGTTATTTAGCTGGCCTGGCCACCCTCTAGCCTGGGTGCATGTGGCTCACGCCCTATCCACTATGCTATAGGTGCCACCTTAAATAGACTATTTTTGGTAGAGCACTTTTGCTTTACAGCAAAACCAAGCAGAAAGTGAGTCCACACACAGGCCCACCCCCCACCCCACCCCCATGCACACAGCCTCCCCCACCATCAGCACCCCACAGCATGGGGTGTTGGCTACAATGGATGAACCTCCATGGATGAATCATTGTCACCACAGGTCCACAGTTTATATTCAGGGCCATGCATGGTGTACAACTAAGAAGTTTGGACCAAGGCACAATGACACGTACCTACCATTATAGGATCATACAGGGTAGTTCCACTGCCCTAAAAATCCTGTGTTCCCCATGCTCTTCCAGTCATGTAGCTTTCCATCATTTCTCTGGACTTGGTGTGAGTGAGGGTGTGCAGGTCAGGGTGGAGTGGAAGGGGAGGTTGCTGTTGCTTCTTAGGACTGTGCTCAGGGCCCTGGGCTGTCAGACATTACCTCAGAGGTTGGTAACGCAGAGCTATAAGAGTCCAGTACCCAGAGTTTCTGGTCCAGCAGGCCTGGGAGAGCCCAGGAATTGTTTTGTCCTAGTTCCCCAGGGAGCCCCCTTGTACCACATCATAGGTGCTGCCCTGCAGTTACACGGTGGTCAGAAGAGATGTGCCCAGGCTTTGGACCGCTCTGTTTGGGAAGCTCAGAACATTTACATCCCCTCATTCCTGATGGCCCAGGCTGCAGGGTGCAGGTGCCTTGTGGAGCTGCCGGGGGGGGGGGGGTGGTCCCCACACATGGCCGCAGAGTCTCCAGGGAGCCCCTTCCTCAGTGCTGGGCACCCAGAGGGTGTCCATATTCTCCTCTGATAGGTCGAGCCTAGTGTCTGGGGTGTTTCCACAGTGGGGGCAGGGGAGCTATGGTGCTAAGTTGGGCCTTTTCCACATGTAGCAGGTGTGGTGGCTGAGGCACAGAGGGGAGGCAGCAGCCCTAGGGCTAGCCACCTGCAGGCCAGCACCGGTGTCCACATCCAAAGAGAGGGAGCCTCCCACCTGGCAGTGAACATCTTATGTGGGTGCTTGGCCCGTGGTTTGCAGAGCCCTGATCAAGGCTTGGATGGCTCCATCAGAAACATTGAACAGACCTGGGTCATATTAAGGATGAGTCACCAGGAGCTCCTGAGGCATGGCTGGGAAGGTGTAGGACTATGGGGCCGGGGGAGGGCCAAACATTTGTCCCAGCTTCTGCAGACCCCATTGATCCTGTGGGGCCTGCACTGGGGGGCTGACCTGCTTGCTCTGGGGAGGGTGTCCTCCCATATACTGTGACCTTGCAGGTCCCTGCGGGTGATGCTGAAGCTGAGACAGAGGCTGCGGAGCCCTGTGGCAGCTTTCACCAGGTATGGCGGGCTGGTTCCACCCTCACCCCACACTGGCCCAGGCTGTGCTCACCTCCCTGCCTCAGGGTTGGGGGATACCAGAGCTTGGGGAGGGAGTCTGGAGGGTGGGCATGAATGGCTCCCCTCTGCTCCCACAGTCAGCTGCCCCGGAGCAAGCAGAGGGCCATGGAGACGCAGATGCAGCTGGAGGCACTGGTGCTCCTCAGCAACCTGGCCGACTTGGCCAACGCTGTGCACTGGCTGCCCCGGGGAGTCCTGTGGGCTGGCCGCTTCCCCCCGTGGCTGGTGGGCCTCCTGGGCACCATCTCCTCACTTCTCAGTATGTACCAGGCAGCCCAGGCTGATGGCCAGGCTGATGCCACCATCTCCTGAGGTGGATGAAGCTGGACTCATACAGAGGGCTGCTTTCCACAGAGCAGGAGTCACCAGGCTGTGAGGTCTCCCCAGGGCCCAGTGTGGGCTCATGGGGGAGGTATCTCTCTGCACCACAGGCCAGGACCCCAGGGCTCCTGACCCCAGGCCTGCTGTGACAGAGTTTGCCGAGGCTGCCGAGGGCCTCAGCAACACCTTCCGTCCGCTGGCCAGCATCTCGTATCCAAATAAAGGTGAATAGGACAGACAGCGTTGTGCCTTGGGAAAGCTGGAGTGAGAATCAGTTACAAATCGTGGTGCTGGTGCCAGGCTCAGGTGTGAGGGATTACACACTGGGGGCTGCAGGCCTGGGCCGCTGGCTCCCTCACGTGGGTGGACCAGGCCATAGTCAGAAACCACACTTCCCCAGCCCGCTTTCTGGAATACCCTTGGCCTGGAGCCTTCTCTCTGACTCTGAACAAGCACTGCCTATTGCCCCTGACTGGCTTTCAACCATTAGGAGCTGTTATTCACACCCCAAAGGCCTGGAAATATGGCCTAGAGGTGCCACCTCCTGCCAGGCCACCTGAGGGGTGCCTATATGTGCCTCAGACCAAGGGCCACTGTGAGGATTTAATGGGCTTCAAGCTGGGGCTGATATCTCTGAAGACTCATGAGGCTCCCACCTTACTGTGTGATGAGATGGGACACAGTTGCTTTTTAATCTGATGGCCAAGAATGGCATTTGAGAGACCATGCCTCTGTAGCCTGGGGTGGACATCACTGGACAGTGGCTGGCCCAGCAGACCCAGCACCGTATGTCCTTGTATCTCAAGTGATACCAACACTGATCATGGGGGTGGGGGTCTAGGCACAGAGCAGGTGTGCCAGACAGATGCTTCTAGAAAAGGAGACCTGCCTCCCAGCTCCCTTGAGCTGGCCCAGTAGCCCTTTGTGGTTGTCTTGAAAGTCTTTGAAATACTCACGAGTGTAGAACTTATCCATTTAAGGTACAAAGTTGAGTGGTTTTAGGATATTCAGAGTCATACAACCATCACACACTGAATTTTAGAATGTTTTTTTCATCCCCAAACGAAATTGCAACCTTTAGCTGTTACTTCTCCCACCCCAGGTACCCTAGGCTTGGTAACTACTCATCTGTGTCTACAGATTTGCTTCTTTCGGTCCAGTGGGTTCTTGACCTTTTGGGAGCTGAGAACAGATCCTTTTGCAACTCCCTTAAGGACCATGGGCCCTCTTTGCAGAACAGCCCGTTTTGGGGTTCCTTGGGCCCTTAGGGGCATGCTGGGAAGACTGGGGACATTTGCATGTCAGTTGAGTAGAGGTCAGGGGATTGCTGGAATGGGGGTAGGTCCAGACCTGGGAAGTAGGCAGCTCAATGCTCCCCCAACAGGTTGGTGTTCCTGCAGGCCTGGCCTCACTGGCCAGGATAGAGACCTGGTTTTCTCAATATGTCACCACCTCCCTTTCTGGATGTATCCATTTCTGTAGCCCCTGCCTGCCCTCTCCTGCATCCCAGCGTCTCCTGTGGCCAGGACTTAACCCAAGGCCATGGATCTGGCTGGCACCATATGAGCATGTGTACTGCTTCCCCCCCTTGAAGTCCCTGCTTCCATCAGCTACCCATGGGGGCTCTGACTTCTGACCCCAACACAGCTTGGACACCACTATGTGTTTGGCCAGGTTAGAGAGTTAGGAAGAGAATGAGAGAGGATTCTAGTGCCCACTCTCAGGAGAAAGGGTATACCTTGCAGTGAATGGGGGCTATAGCTTGTCCATGCAACTGCTTAGTGACAGAACGGAGCTCAGTGGCTGACATATGCATCAACAGGGAATCCTGGCCGGGCCTAGTGGCTTGCACCTGTAATCCCAGCATTCTGGGAGGCCAAGGTGGGTGGATCGCTTGAGCTCACGAGTTCGAGATCAGCCTGAGCAAGTGGGAGAGCGAGAGGAAAAGCGAGACCATTTCTAAAAAAAAAAAAAAATAGCCAGACATTGTGGCAGGTGCCTGTAGTTCCAGATAGCTACTCAGGAAGCTGAGGCAAGAGCCATGACACCATGACACTCTACAGGGAGAAAGTAAGACTGTCTCAAAAAACAAAAACACACAGGGAATCCAAACACCATGCTGAATGAATACCACCAGGCACAGAAGCACAGAAGTCCACCTACTGAGCAATCAGTGCCAAGCTAGAGAGACCAGGGCCAGGAGGTACTGCCGGGAGTGGGGAGAACAGCAGGAGGGGAAAACCCTGGCATGGGACAGAACATGTCCCACATCTTGATTGGGGAGTGGGTTACCCAAACAGCGTGCTTTCTGATGCAAGTTAAAAAGGGAGCACAGCAGCTTGTGTGGGGTGTTACCTTCTAATGCCCCCGGGGCAAGCCCACAACCCGGCCCTGTCTCCACATGCCACCATGTTAGGTTTTTTTTTTCCCCCCAACACAAGAGTCTGTGTCACCCTCGGTAAAGTGCTGTAGCATCACAGCTCACAGTAACGTCAAGTTCTTGGGCTTAAGCCATTCTCTTGCCTCAGCCTCCTGAGTAGTTGGGACTATAGGTGCCTGCCACAATGCCTATCTTTTGGATGGAATTGTCATTGTTTAGCAGGCCTGGGAAAGGCTTGAACCTGCCAGCCTTGGTGTATGTGGCTGGCACCGTATTCACTGAGCCTCAGGCTCTGAGCCAGGTGTGTGTGGTTTTTTTTTTTTTTTTTTTTTTTTTTGAGACAGTCTTACTTTGTTGCCCTGGGTAGAGTGCCATTCTGTCATAGCTCATACCAACCTTAAACTCTAGGTCTCAAGTGATTCTCTTGCCTTAGCCTCCCAAGTAGCTGGGACTACAGGCATCTACCACAGTAGCCAGCTATTTTTAGACAGGGTCTCACTCTGGCTTAGGCTGGTCTCAAACCCATGAGCTCAGTCAATCCACCTGCCTTGGCCTCCCAGAGTGCTAAGATTACAGGTGTGAGCCACAGCACCCAACCTGGGTCAGGTACTGTTGTATCTTGGCCCCCAGACCAAACCAGCACCTCATTTGATGTTCAGCCAAGGAAAGGACACCCCAACACAGGGAAACTCTATGTTGTGTATATTTTACCAAGATGAATAAAATATGAAATAAAAGAATTTCACTTTGTTTTTCTTTTTCTTATTTTTTAAATGTGGTTAGTAAAAAGGAAAAATTCCATGTAAGGCTTGCATGGTCTTTCTGTCCAACAGTGCTGACTTAAAAGTGTTCTCTCTGCACTTCTAGTTCGCTAGTGATCCTAGTCCCCTTTGAGTCCTTGGACTCAGGCAAGGTGGATATTAAGATTTACCAGTCATTGCTAAGCTAATCTCTCCAGCAAAACAGAGAAACCTAAAGTTACAATAAGGCAAGAGGATTGTATGAGGCCCAGAATTTGAGACCAGCCTGGGCAACACAGATCGCCTGCTGTACCACATGTGCCTATAGCCCCAGCTACTGGGGCGACTGAGGCAGGACTGGGTGAGCTTAGGAGTTGGAGGCTGCAGAGAGCTGACTGTGCCACTGCATACCAGCCTGCATGATGAAGAAAGATGGTATCTCTTAAAAAAAAGTTATACTCTTGGTGGTTATTTGGATTAAGAAAAAGTAAAGCCAGGTTCTGGAGGCGCCAGAAAGCCTGAAGTATAACCAGTGGGCAGCTCCCTCTGTGGGCACTTCAGTGACCCTAGCTGTGTGGTCACACCCCTATCTGGTGCCCTCCTCTGGGGGCAGCAACTCAGCCTCATCAGGTTGGGGCAAAGAAAGCCAATGGCTGGGGTTTGGATCCAAAAGTTTTTTTTTTTTTTTTTTTGGAGACAGGGTCTCTCTTTTTTGACCAGGCTGGAGGACAGTGGTGTCATGGTATCATCACAGCTCACTGCAGCCTCAAACTCCAACTCATGGCTTCAAGTGATCCTCTTGCCTTGGCCTCCTGAGTGGCTGGGACTACAGGCATTGGCCACTGTGCCCAGCTAATTTTTCCTTTTTAGTAAAGATGGGGTCTCGCTCTTGCTTAGGCTGGTCTCAAACTCCTGAGCTGAAGCAATCCTCCTGCATTGGCCTCCCAGAGTGTTGGGATTACAGGTACGAGCCACTGCATTTGGTTGAAAGGATCTTCTGAGCGTTAAGCAGGACACAGGGTAGGGGAACCACATGTGTGGCAAATGATGACAGCAGCTGTCAGCTGTTCGTACGATGGTGGGCACAGGTGCTGTTGCTGCAGACAGCCTGATGGACTGCCTGCCTATTGCTGTGAGCCCCCACTGGAACCCAGAACCTGCCACACCTGTGCCATTTGGGCAGGAGCTGTTCCTAAAAATGCCAAAGAACATCCCTGTCAGTCAGAGCTCATTTTAGACACTTTATTGCTAAAATCAGATCTTAAGTTCTAAGGTGGTTCTGAAATATCCCACAGTGAGGAAATGTAATCATTGTAAAAACAATTAGCAGGTGGACACAAATGACGAGGACACGTACAGAACCCACAAATACAGGAACATATGCTCAACCATTGTCGGCTTTAAAATTGGGCTCTACCCAGGAGTGACTGAGGGTTCCAGTGAGAGAAGGACTGATGACACTGCCCTATTGCACAGCACAACTGAGAAACCCCTCTGCCTCATGGCAGAGCAGAGATTACTTTAATTCTCCTCGTCCAAGGAATCACGGTATCTCAGAGGGTGGCACCAGATCACACTGGCTCAGGGTGGCCCAGGAATGTTCTCTTCACGACAGAACAGAAACGTAAAGTCAGCTCTTCTAAAGTGCTTCTCAATATAAAAGTACTAAACACTGATTATCAGCATGGCACAGATGAGATCTGATAGGGATAGGGACGCTTAGGTCTCAGGCTTGATTGCTGCTGATGGCAAAGGGCAAGGCTTGGAGGTCAAGGTTCTCTGAGAGGCAGGTGCCTGGAGACACCTGGCCACTTGGTATGCCCAGATGACGCTGGGAACTGCTGTTCTTGGTACCCTGTGATGGACTGGCTGAGGGCCTCCCGCTCCTGGTCAGAGCCTGCCTTTGCCCTGCCCCCTCCTAAGCCTGTGGCACCAAGCAGGCACCTTAGCTATGAGGTGAGCAGTTCCCAAGGAGGTCCTCTCTGCAGTACCTGCCTGTCCCCAAGTAATGGGAATATTCCAGCCACTGTGTTAGGCCTCATGGGGTGGCTCTACCTGTTCACCTGGGAGAAGGCTGAGTACTGCCCAGGGTGCAGGACTTGGGAGAATGACTTGGCTGGGCCTCTAGCTGGGGCCCACATGCCATCTGGGATGATGATGGATATCAGACACCATCCCCAACACTTGCCCTACTCCTCTAGGGAGATGGATCATGCATTGCAACAGCTCACAGTAGGTGAGGGCCTGCAAGGTGGCCATTTGTCCACTCACTGGCAGCACCTCTAGGTATTTCCTCCCCAAGCCTGGGATGTGTCGTGTGTATCCACCTGGCAGGCAAGCAAACATTGACTCACCCAAGAAACACTAGCTCATTTCTTAGGGAGTTTAGGACCCTCCCTCACCCAAGAAGCACTAGCTCATTTCTAGGGGGGCTGAGGACTCTCCACCCAGAGTGTGTGCTGAGGAGGCTGAGGCAAGAGAATCTCTTGAGCCCAAGAGTTTGAGGTTGCTGTGGGCTATGACACCACAGCACTCCACCGAGGGGACAAAGTGGGACTCTGTCTCAAAAAAAAAAAAAAACAAACAAAAAACAAAACTCTGCCAAGTTAAAAGGACTATAGGTCAGTCCCTTTCTAGATGAGTTTCCAGACCCAGAGAACCTACCTGTGCCCTCAGCTGGCCTTGTCCTGTAGCCTTCTCTGCCCCAGAGCTGGTTGTCCACCCCATGCCCAGCTCATCCTGTAGCTCAGAGGTTCATCATGAACCTATGTGGGTCTCTGCTGTGCAAGTGGATCCTGCCCAACTCTGGATACAGATGCACATGACAACACCTGCCCCCTGGTGCCCTGACTACCTGTTCTCCTAATGGCCGAGGAGCCCAGCTGGGGCCAGCAGCTCCTTCCTAGATTGAGGTCTGTCCTGTCCTTCAGCCCATTGCAGAACCAGCATCACCATTCCTGACTGCCTTGGGAAAATGGCTAGGGGTTCCTCTAACCAAATGGGGGTGCTATGATTTAAAACAGCTCCTTGGTTTGTCTCTGGTTCAACCTTTGATTAAAAACTTTCCTTTCTGGAAAAAGAAAGGTTTAGAAAGTGACCCAGGTACCACTGCTAATCCTACAGAAAGAGCCATGAGACCCAAAGCACCAATAGGCAGCTCCAGCCAGGCAGCTGTCAGTGGTTTGCTCAGGAAAGGGAGGGGGACAGCTGGGTGGCACCCTGTGGGGGTTCCCAGAGAGCAGAGGGTAGGCAGGGCTAGGAGGGTATGCACCTCAATCCCTGGCCTTTTTAGAAGAAGATGACATCTTCCTTGCTGGCTTCCTCCTTGGCGGTGAATGGTGTGGCTGGTGAGGGGGATGGGGGCACCGGCAGGAAAGATGTGGTCCCAGCCTTGAGGGAGAAGCAGTCAGGGGGGCTGTCCACTGGGGCCGGGCTTGGGGCTAGGGAGCAGGGCTCTGGAACAGAGAAGAGGCCAGGGCTGTGAGTAGCCACCAGGTGTGCACAGCCCTGCTCAGCTGTGGGGGTAGAGGTGGGGATAGGGATGACCTAGAAGGGCATGGGATTCACCTGGGGGTACATGGGGCTTATATGGGGGGAGGGGCAAGGCTCACCTGGGGTGCATGTCAGGTTCACCTGGGAGGCGATGTGGGGCTCACCTGCAAGGGGCGCAGGGCTGTGGCTGCTGGGCAGGATGGGGCTCAGTGACCGGCGGCTCCGTGAGGCACTCTCATCCTTCCCTATGAATTTGTTGAGCAGCAGCTGCTGCTTTAGATCAAAGGATGCTGCAAGAGAGAGGGTGGGCTTTGCTGCAGGCACTAGACTGCTCTCGCCACCCCCTTCCCAGGGAAGTGTCAGAGAGCAGAGGGGTCTCTAGGCCAATCCCTATCCGACACTCCCCACAGGCAGCACCCAATTGGACCCTGCTGTGACACTAAGCCCCACATCCATGGACCCTGCTCTTGGCAATGGAGAGGCCCTACAGTAGTGATTCTCAACCTTCCTAATGCCGCAATGTATTTTCATTGTTAAAAAGGGGTCGCTACCCACAGGTTGAGAACTGTTGCCCTACAGTAACTTGACTTCTGGATGAGAGAAAGGAAAGCCGAGCTTCTAGGGGAATGTCCCAGGATATCCCTGGTTGTCATCCAGGAGGTAGGGCATGCTTCCCATACCTGAGGAGCCCCAGGTATGGGGGCTCACTCCATGGGGAGGCGCTTACTGGGACAAGGGACTGGGTCTCTCTGGGCCTTCGTGTCCCTCTCTGTGGAACAAGGATGTTAGGAGAGCCCCTGCACCTGTCCCAGGCCCAGGCTGTGCTGGTGCTAAGCAACTAGGGCTCTAACTTCTCATCCAACACCCTTTTTGAGGATCCTTGTCACCTTCCAGCTGTTTGAGGACCAATGTAGGAAAAGAACATGGGGTTTGTCATTTCAGTTTTGCTCCTGGAGGCCAACCTTGGCCACGATGCCACAGTCATGCTGTCTAGTTTTCTTCTGGGTACCCCCTCCAGAGGAATGGGCACTATTGTCCCATTTTTGTTGGCTCCCCAGTTGCCCGTGGCCAGATCTCTCTGTCCAAGGATGAGGGGGGCTAGGTGGGACCTGGGCCCGGCTCACCTGAGCTCTCCCAGCGTTGGGAGCCCCTGCTCTTGCTGCCCTTGTCCTTGCCGCCCTTGGTGAAAGCAGCTAGCTTGGTAGGAATCTGCTGCTGCACGGCCGCCTGCTTCTGGATCTGGTTGGTGGCACTGAGCAGCTGGATAGGCACGTCACTCTTGGCTGGCCGGCCCTCAGCTGGGACGCTGTCTCGGCGAGCCACCTCAGGGCGCTCTGTGTACTCAGGCCCAATGCCAGGCAGCACCATGTTCACTCGCGACCCCTCCAGCCCGTCCCCGTTGAAGCTAGGAGGATGGCTTGCAGGCTGGGCCTGAATGGGTGACAGTATACACATCTCAATGCCACAGTTCCTACTAGGTGCCTTCTTGAGAGCCCCTCAAAGGACATGCATAGCCAGACCAAGCAAACCTCTTCCTTCCTCAACTAGGAGGGCCTGCACTAGACAGAGCTGGGGTCTGCCTTAAGGAGCTGCCAGTTACATGTACACACAGTCACACTTAGGACCCACACTCTCACTCATGCTCATGTACACTCACACATCCATGGTTGGCATTTTCATTTCATGGTTGGCTGGTTCACAGAGAACCAGCATCTTGCTCTGTCCCATGGCTGGAGTGTAAGCAGTCCTCCTGCCTCAGCCTCTGGAGTAGCTGGGACGACAGATGAGTGCCACCATGCCTAACTTTTAGAGATGGGATCTTCTCTGTTGCTCAAGCCGTTCTCAAACTCCTAGGTTCAAGTGATCTTACTGCCTTGGTCTCCCAAAGTGTTAAGATTATAGGTGTGAAGCACCTCTCCTGGCCCACGGTGTTCTTGTTAAGAAGTTTCCAACACTTTTTAAGTGCAATAGCATGCTGGTGTTTAACCAGCTCTAAAAAAAGTTCTGCTTTACAGTAGGTGCTGTCAGTGCTGTCTTTCTCTTAAGCCCCTGCACTATCACATTAGGACTCAGGCAAATGCATGTGCCAAGTGGCCTCCCCAGGCGTGGGCTCACCTCGGCCAGTGCATCAGGCGGCAGTGATCCTGGCGCCGTGTTTTGCTTCTTGAGGCGGCGCAGCAGCTCCTGGCGCTCACGTTCTCGCTCCACAGCACGCTGGGCCTCACGCAACCGCTCCAGGTCATGCTGGTAGGCCTGGCGCTGGCCCTCTAGCTCGCAGCGCTCCTGTGCCAGCCGCTCCTGCAGCCGCCGGACCTCGTCCTCACGCTCTTGCAGCTGCGCGGCCGTGTGCTCCAGCTCCTGACACTGCCGCTGGCGCTCACGCTCCCAGCGCTGCTGCTCCTGCCGCAGCTGGCTCTGCAGCTTCTCCACACCTGCCTGCTCCTCGCGCAGCTTCTCGAAATTGCGCTGTCGCTCCTGCTCCAGCAGCAGGTTCCCGCGCGTCGACTGCAGCCGGAACTGCTTCTCACGCTCGCGGAGCGTCTCCACGTAGCTGTCCTGCTGCACTACGACCGCCTGGGGGAGGGCCAGGGCGGGGTCAGTGAGCGCCACCCCCCGCCCACAGCCAACCAGGAAGGGGCATCGCGATGGCCCCGCCCCCACGATGACCCATACCTGCAGGCTCAGGAGCAACTGGTACAACATCTGGAACCGCCGGACCAGCTGCAGGCAGAGAGGGAAAGGCTGGCTCTGGCTCGGGAACTAGGCTGCTGACCTGTCTGTGCCGTTCCCCAGGTCAGGGACAGCCTGCACCTACCTCCGATTCCAGGACAGTGGGCAGACGGGGGCCACACTCCATGCCGGGTGCTTCCATCTAGAAGAGGACAGCCTCAAATCAGAGTTTGGCAAAGGACCCACCTAAGGACAAGTGGCCCTGCTTGTTATTGACAAAACACACCCCTGGCATGGGTGATAGAAAGGACCAGGGCTTGGCCGCAACTGAGGTGACAGGCCCTGCTGGCCATTTGACTACTGCCAATCTGAGTATCTGGAAAATGAGGGGCGGGGCAGGCTGGTTGCTGCAGGCCCACCACAGAGTGGGCTTGATGTGAAGCCCCAGTGACAGATGTTCACCGTGGGACAAACCACACAGCCCCGCAGATACTGTTCGTCCGTTAGTGTTAATTATGTTGACTGGGACTGACTCTCTACTGAGGAAGGAATATCCCAAGGGAGTCACCTACCACCTGTGGTGATTCCTCAGAGCCCCCAGAGGTATTGTTGTCACCAAGCTTTGGGTCCATGCTGTTTGCAGGGCCTTGCCAGTCTCCAGGCCTGGGGTCAGTGCTGCAGACTTTCTTCTTAAAACTGCCATCTGAGAACCCCAAGCCGAGAGTTTGAGGATACTGCAAGTCCCATGGGGAGGGAGGGGTTGGAACTTTCCTGTCTGCTCCCAGTCCATGCCCAGGTAGCAAATCTTCCCTGTGTCCAAGGTGGTATTTGCAGCAGGGAGACCAGCCAGAAAGGAGTGGGGTAGTTTAGGTGCTGCTGTCAGAACACAACTGACAACACCTGGAGGACCTCAGCGCCTTTCCAGAAGCTGCACAGCCCCAGAGGGGCTGCAGGGTACGGGAGGGCAGGGTGGCACCACTTACTCTTGCTGGGGCTATTGGTGCTGTCGTAGCCTCCGAAGGTCTCGGCCCTTCTGGGCAGGCCCACAGAACTGTCTCCATCTTCTGCCTGACTGACAGCACAGCTCAGCTGCCTGCAGATGAGGCTCTGAATGCCCTCCACTGTGGAAGGAAGGAGATGGGAGGAGTGAGTTACCCTGTGGAGGCGTGCTGGGGCATAAGTGGGTGGAGGCCAGCAAGCTGACAGGGGATTTCAGCCTGTTGCTTCTGTGCACTCCCTCATAACCAGGACACGGCAAGCACCTCCATGTAAGAGGCCAGGGGTGGTGTAAGCCAGAGGTGGCCCTGCCTGTAGCCAGGAGGGAACACTTGGTGGCCAAGGCTTTGTGAGGATGGCCATATGGGAAGGTGGCCTTGGAGGGAAGGGCTGTCCACACAAAGCTCCTCTGGGACCAACAGGCTGTAGCCAAAGAGGTGGGGACCAAAACACTTTAGATTGAGGTGAGGTGATGGACACAGCAAGTGTCCTCAGGACACCAAGAACAATGGACACTGGAGCCAGTTAGAAGGATGTCAGTGGGGCTGGAGGGAGCAAGACTGCCTGCCTGTGGTCCCTGGCCTCTTATTCAGCAGAAAAGCTCTGGAGGGTACAGGGTGCATTATGTCCATCTTGCTTGCTGTTGAATGAGGAGACTGAGTGCCAGGGCCTGTGTATGTGGTCAGCCCAGGGTGTGGTGCGGTGTTGGGACTGTGCGTGGAGACGCAGCCCACTTGCTAATCATGCTCTCCTGGAGCTGCAGTTGAACAGAAGCTTCCTTCTGCTAGACATGCGGTTCTTGGGAACCTAAGAAAGGGCCCCCTAAGGGTACATGCATGTAGTTTTTCGGGAAAACCAGTCGAGGTCAACTTTAGATGCCCATAGCCCAGCCTGGTGCCCTGCTCAGAGTGGGCACCGGGGAACATCTGCTGAGAGGAACAGAATACACTTTATGGGTGTAAAGAGAGGCTTGCACTGGACTGTGTCTAAGGACCTTCTGCTGCTAGATGCCAGTAGTGGGTAAGTGCTGCTCCCAGGCCCCATCAAACAGAAGCATGTCTCAGCCAGGGGGGCTTATCAGCCACACTAGGCTGTGTGCAGTGTGGGGGTGAGGTGGGGAGGCCCACTTACTCTCACTCATGGCCGACTTGAAAATCAGCTCCCCCTGCAGGGTCTCAGCAAGGTCTGCTCCATGGAAGAGGGTGCGAGCCTGGGCAACGTCTTCCAGTCCGCTCATCTCAGCCATCTCCAGGTAGATCTGTTGCTTTTCTGCAAGGCTCTGCACGATCAGCTGGTCTTTCAGGCTCAACCGCTCTGTAGAGTAGCAATGGGGGCAAGGAGTAGTATGGTCAGCCTGGTTGATATTCCCTGGGACTTATACTGCCCAGGGGCCAGTATAAGGCTGTGATGATAGGGACCCCCACTGACCCAGTCCTGAGGCAGGCTGCTCCTTCCATCCCACATTCCTGAGAGGTGGGGGACAGCATGGCCCTGCCCTCTGATAGCTTTCTCCAATTAGAAAAATCAAACATGGTGGGACATGGGTGAACATTTTATACCAATTTCGTGGTGTGGGACCAACTGAGAACCTTAGAATACTGGGTTTTGAGGACAGGTGCACTGTAATCCCAGCACTCTGTGAGGACGACAAAGTGGATCCCTGGAGCTCACAAGTTTGAGACCAGCATGATAGGAGTTAAGGTTTTTAGTAAAAATAGAAAAAATTAGCTGGGCATTGTGGTGGGTACCTGTAGTCCCAGCTACTATGAAGGCTGGGGCAAGAGGATCTCTTGAGCCCAGGACTTTGAGGTTACTGTGAGCTATGATAATGTCACTGCCCTCTACCCAGGGGGACAGAGTGAGACTCCAAAGTCTCAAAAAACCCAAACTCACCTGAGTTTTCTAATCTCAGAAGTTTCCCTTCAGGCCTGTGGGTTAAGATTTTTTTCACTTCTCCTACAAGTCTCTGGCTTTTAAACTTCTTGTTTTTGTTGCTGCTTTGAAAGGGACTGATTTTAGTAGCCCTTCTCACTGGTATATATGCATCATACTTAGTTGAATTACTCAGCTCTTACCAGTTCCAACAGTTTTTCAGTTGATTCTACTGAATTTTCCAGGCAAATAGTCAGTCATCTGCCAAAAATAATTCTGTGTTTTCCTTCTAGTAATATAATTTTTATATGTTATTTAAATATTATTTTATATATTATTTATTATAATATATATCTTTTATATTTTATATATACATATCTATCTATCTATCTATATATTTAAGACAGAGTCTTACTCTGTTACCTTGGGTAAAGTGCAGTGGCATCATAGCTCACAGTAACCTCAATCTCTTGGGCTCAAGAGTTCCTCTTGCCTAAGCCTCCTGAGTACCTGGGACTACAGACACTGGCTACTATGACTAGGTAGTTCTTCCAGTAATATCTTATTCCTATTTCCCTGGGAGAGTCCGTAATACAGGATGACTTGGCTTTTGAAAAGAATATGAGAAGAGAACAGCTATCCTGATAAATAAACTACCTTTATTTCAAGTTCAAAGAGAGAATCATTGGCACATGTGAAAGGTGTGTATTTCAGGGACCATCCAGCATAAGCAAGCAGAAAGAATGAGACAAATACTGGGATAATGCTTCCTGGGCTCAAGGGAATTCTTTCTCTCCTTTTCTTATGGACATTTTTATTAATATCCTCTAACTTAAACTTGCTAAAAGTAAACAAAAATTTTGGCTTATGCCAAACTGTCTCTCCCCATAAAGAGGAACAACATATATATTACTTAACTTTATGTGCTCACTGTTTAAATACTGTCTAATTTAAAAATAAGAGAATAGTAAGAAGGAAGATGAGAACTTGCTCCAGAGCACAAGGTGCCAGGGACAGTTCAATGACGATGTTAACAACAGTGAGGGAGTGCGTTAACAACAGTGAGGGAGTGCGTCAACATAGCTTAGTCCAACTCTGCACAGGAGTCTCACTCATCAGCACAGCACAGTCCATCCACGCACGGGAATATCACTCA